TTTTATGCTGAGGATTCAGATAGATAAAACTTAGCTTTAAATTAACGTAGAGCATCTTGAAGGTCATCTTGGTTTAGTCAGAAATTTACTCTGTGTTAGCTAATTCAATCCTGTTGGGCAGTGAACCCACACCAATTCTGTTTCTGAAGCCTCAGGTGAATCTTTTGCTTGAATGTTTTACCTATGTATATTCTAGGAGTGAAAATAAAAAATTGCTCATTCATGCCAATACATCCTATTTTTTGTGAACTAACTAGAGGCCACTTTTTCTTTGTTGGGAGCATCTAGATGTAACATTTCTTGGCTATTCTGTCAGTTTATGATCACTGGAATAAAAAATGCTGTAAGAATTGTATAATCAGAAATGTACAGTTGCAGTCTGATGTATTGGCCCTAATGTTGTGACAAGATGACAGATGTTAATTACACAGTAAAAAATTGTATTTTAAAAGGTAACCCCTTCTGCTCGAAGCCTGGGTAATCCAAGCCAGGCTCATTCAGCATTCTCACTGCGTGAGGTTGCATACAGCAAAATCAAGACGTTAATGTGAACTTTGTGACTTCCATCCATCTTTTCACTGCATTTCTCCATTTTAGCAATCTGCTAAATGTCTGCTATTTATCTTGCATTTTCTTATTTTCAAAATTAACTTAAAATGAGCTCAAAATGAAACTTGAGTGTGGTTGTGGGGCCGCATGGCATGACTAATACAGCTGGGGTGCACCCAGATTAACTCCCCGAATTCCTCCCCAAAGGCTTCCTTCTTCCCCCTCCCCTGCCAGTATCGACTCACCCCTGCAGATTGCTGCACCAACTTACCCCAGGCACTCCTGCAGCAGCAGGGAGTGTTCAGGACAAGATTGACTTGCTAAGCAGTCACTCTTGAACATGACCAAGAACAGTTTTCTTTGGACCTTCCCCAAGAAATTGAATTACTTGTTCAAATATTTTTATTGACATGTGTATTTCTTTTGCAGGTGTGTTTCCCTATGGCACCTTGTGGGTGTGTTTATATATGTATGCATATATGGAGGTGTATTTGTCTGTATGTGTGTCACATATTTTGCACTTACTGCTACCAGCTTTTAGTATTTTTTCTCTGGGAACATGCTGTGATAGCTTCAGTATTTCAAAGAGCATGCAATCCAAAATCTGTCAGTAGGAAATATTTCTTTAAGGAAGAAAATGTGTTTTTTTGTTAACTTTCTCAATCTCTCATCCATTCAACTCTGTGCTGAATATATGTGCTGTTGCAGGGCTTGGGGTGGGACTCCAATGACTTCTGTTTATTTCACCATTTTGTAAACACTGCTTAACAGGAGTGATGTTGAAGCTGTAAACTTGAATCTGTATGTGAGGTTCCACTCTGAAACTGGAGTTTTAGAAGTTTCAGTTCACACTCCCGATTTATACCCATCCCTAATGAGTCACTGGTCACCTTGCAGGGAAACAACACGTATTGTCTTGACATATTAGTTTTAAGTGATTTTGCATGCCTACAGGAAGACATTTAGGGAGAAGAATCCAGGCAATTTCTATAGCATCAAAGCCTTGTTGGGGTTTCCAGGTGACTGAATTCAGATTTATTGTTGGTGAACTTGGTTCCTAGTGATCTATTTAATCCTGCATTAGCATCTGTATAGAATGCTTAACTCTTACAGTGTGCTTTCCAAACATACACTAATTTGGTCTCACACCATCTCTCAAACAGGAAGCCTGATAATGAGGTGTAGGATCTTTCTTTTTTCTTTTTAACTGTACTGTTATTAATGCCTGAACTGTTCTGAGGTTATCAAACAAAAGGGGACAAAGCACATCAGTTTACTGGGAGTGAGAAATGCATTGAGGCTCTGCATCTTCTGAAATCCAGCTGTTATTGTTGCCTGCATTGACAGTCCCAGCTTCCTCAAAAGCCATTCGTGTGCCATGATCACTAATAAACTGCAGCTTACTTCTCTGGTTCTTCTTGCTGTTACTTTTCCTTGAACCAAATTTTTATACATTGCATAAAACCCTTGCTAATCTTCATCTTCCACAGTTTACCGAATAGTTTCTACTGTGAATTTACACCTGTGCTTTGCTGAAGTTCAGGTACATGGAAAATATATGTATTTTATGTCTGAAACAGTGATAACCAGTGGTTATAGTGGTAACTATCTTTTTGGTTTGCCCTAATCTTTTTAGTAATCTCAAGGTGTAGTTTTTCCACCTTGTCTTCAGTTTCCTTCCTGTTTAAAACTTTGAATACCATTAACATCTTACTCTGAATCCAGTAGCAGTGTGGATCTCTGTTTTCTGACCCTGTACAAGAGCAGTAAGTACTATACAGTGATCTGTGCCATACTAACTAATCACCCCTCTGGCATTCTGAGCAAATGCAGGTTAATGGAGAATCTTTTAATATTTCTATTAATTAAGTATATTATCTTAATAACTCTATTGTCAATTTTTCATTGCTAGGTAATGACTAGAGCTGGTTTAGCTATTAATAACTACTAACGTGTTTAAAAGAAAGTAGCACTTTTTGTTTGTGAATTGCCTGCTTATGAAGTCCTATTTCTACAAACATATTTGCTATGTGAGATTCATTTAGGGATGTTCTGTGCAGACATGACTGAGCAGAGGCATATTTGTCAGAGGGTGTCACTTTATGGTTTGGACAGGAGCGTTCACGCAGGTTATAGAAAAACAGCTGTTGTACTTCTTTGAGTGTAAGCATTTGTATTTGAGGTAGAATTTTCATTCTAGGCGTTTCATTAAATATGACACGTGTATATGTGGAAATGAGTACACAGTTGGTGTGTTGGTATTTTAGGTAGTCACTATGACCTATGTGTTTGCTTAAATCCATATCATGAAGTGAAGAGGAGGATCTCTGGGCAGGCTTTAGATAAAAGCACAACAGAGGAAAGGCAAAAGACAGAGTAATTCAATCAGTGACGGTAATTCTTATTCTAATAAAGTTTCCTGTTTGGAATTGAAAGAAAGAACTCCTGGTACAATTGTACATGTGTTACGGTGCCACCCACCATAATGAGGTGGAACACAGAAATGCAGCCAATTCAATAGGACTTTCAGTTTGATGAGCCCATAGAAAGATCTGAACATAAGGATTGTTTCACAGAACCTGAGCAGCAATGAAGCTGAAAATATTGATTCATAAATTTCCTAGGAAGAAGAGAAAAACTATGTAATCATTCCTGAAAAGTTGATGAACATTTCCATCCCAGAATACAATAGTCCAATGGGTATGTTTGTACCAAAAGGCAAAGAGACTCGGAAGGCTTTTAATTTAACACCATAGGAATAGGCAGGGGAGAATGCCATTAAGGAAAAATCAATATGAGAATTTTAAATTAGGAATTCTAGGAAAAATTGTTGTGCCTGGTTTATCTCTGAAACACTCAGTGCAGTTCTCAGCCTGTCCAGGCAAGTGAGAAGTTGCCCAGGAGTGTGCTGAAAGAGGATTTCAGTCCTGGGGTAGAAGGAAGGCTAAATTAAAAATGTCTTTTTTCATCATTGCATTTCTGTCAGAAAGGACGAGGTAGACAAGGCAAGCCAAAACGAACGAGGCTGGCTGAAGTTTGAGGCAGTTGTGATGCAAACTGAGAACACGGACTTGCTACTGCTGCAGTACTGGGGTGCCCTGGTTGGGGATCAGAGCAACGTGGTACAAAGACCCAGCACCCTGGGCACCTGGAGGGAACGTGCAGGATGTGCCCAGCTCCTGTCACCTTTCTAGGGCAGTGAGTGTGTAAATCCAGCACATCCCTGCCAAGTCAAACTAGTGCAAGCCCCTGTCCTGAGCAAGTGCAGTGAAGCTGGTGTCCCTGATGCTTTAGCCTCATGGGATGTCAGTCATTTTCCTCTTGCACAAAACCACTTTTCCTGGCTCCCCAAGGGGCCGGCTGGAGCTACTGCTACTGGAAATCACAAACAAATGCTAGGAAATGTGGTAGGGCAGTGGGTGAAGTGTAAAGGCAATAAAATAGGTAAGAATCACAGCACTTTCACATTTAAAATTGATTCAAATATAGAAGTGGGTATGATTTATAAACTTGAAGAAGGTTAGACTTAATCTCTAGCTAGACATTTTCATTGCCTGAATAAACTTTGATCTCATACTAGTTACAGAGGCAGGAATTTGGCATTAATAGAGATACTTTAGTCAGTTTTCTTAACTTAACCACCCACAGTGGCATAGGGGCTTTCACAATGAATGGAGGATGTGTGGATGGAAGGCATCCGCCTAACAGAAATGACTTAGATGCTTAGGACAACTTATGAGCTAAGGGACAAGTTGTGCTGGCAATTAAGGTAGGCACAGATGGGAATAAACGAGTATTTGTATTTGCTTTACATAGCTTTATAGACATGCCAGCAGGGGTTGTTGTATTTTTATAAAAATATTGTGCATCTACATTTTGGATGAGTTTTCCCACAAAACTATATCGGAGAATCTTTTCTTATCTGCAACTACCTTGGAGAGCCAAGTAATGTAAGTGACTTTAAAAAAGCCAATTAAATGTATGATTGAATGTCAGCCTTTCTGATTGCAGCCTTCATTACGAAACTGAAAATGTGAGATATTTTTTCTACCTAATATTGAACACAGTTAATTAAAAAGGTAAAGATTACATTTTGCTTCAGTTAATTTGAAATAAAGAACCTCCATTTAAACAATAAATTTCAGATTTTAGTTATAGCAATTAATAGACCAAACTGTGTACCTAAGGTTTTATTATATTGATTCTAAAATAATTAGATTAGCAAACACATTGCAAATATATTATCTAAAACAAATAACGTTATCAGAGTGCTTTTGTTATATAGCACAGCAATAAAGCAATCTCATAAAATTAAGAGTCATACAGCATATATTACATTCTTGCACCGAATGACAAAAGCCAGCACGATGACCATGCGGACAGTTTTATGCTTGTGGACTGTTTTGGCCTGGAGTTTGTAAAAGTTAAGCAATAGCCATTTTGTTTCATAGGTAATTGAACTCACGCCTGGGTACCCTGTCTCTGTGCTGCCCCAGTAACCTTTTTTCTGCTGTGTGTCCCAGCCCCTGTGCCGCCTCACGCTCGCATTGTGCCGTGCAGAGCCCCTGGTAAGGAACATTTTGACAGTAGCCCCCACCCAGTGGTTTTAAAAGCCTTAAGGCTGTTCGAGAGGCCTTTTAAAAAGCATGACATTCAATCAAAGTTCAGTGAGGAAAGTTTTAATGAATAAACTTGGTAAATTAGAGAGCACTGCAGCAGAGTGATTAACTCTCATTTGTGCATTAGTGTTAAAATTAATTAAAATGTTTAAGCCGTAGGAGGCAGGTTACCTCCTCAAGACCTGGCTTTGCCCTCAGAGTCAGCCTGGATCCAGCAGCGATTCATCTTGCCCAAGATGAGAGGAGGGGTAAAAGAAAAGAACAGCCAGGACAAATGTGTTTTCAATGGCGCTTAGCTGCAGGAAGGCCACTGAGACCTCAGTGCGGCGTTACTGGAGTGTGACATAATAATACAGTAGGTACGTTGGTGGGTAGAGCCTCTGGAAAGCCAGCGACCCTCCTTTCACACGGATTTCATTTTGACTTGACATGACAGAGCTAATTTCATTACCAGGAGGCACGCTGGATTGTGCTGCAGCGTAGAACAGGCTGCTGGAAATTAGCTCTGTTTTTCTGGTTTGCTTTCACTGCTGCTAGTGAACACCACTTTCTTTACCCAGTGCCACGAAGTACATGATACAGCAGAATAATTTTATACTCATGGCTGTTGCCACCTTTATTAACAGTCTTTCGCTGCATCGATTAATTACATGAGGAGTTAATTAAAGTATCTGATATACTAGGGAATAAACGTGTATTTTAGTACTTGGATAGCAATACATATGAGCAACCAATTTTGTGAGAAGTCATAATAGTAAATTCCTGTAAACTTATTTTCTTCTAAAAATCATTTTAGCTCAGTTTCTTTCAAGATCCAGGAGCCTGTATTTCTTCCTATCCAGACCCATTATGATGTGGCTGTTTAACAAATCTGTGCTGGTTTGGAATTATAAATGACAGCCTATTTTATAAAGGGAAAAGTCTTCTTTGACAGCAGAACAATATCATATGAGTAACAAATGGAAAAATGTGTCATACAGCTGAACAGTTGTTTTCAGATGTTCACCAAGGGCCAGTTATTAATTTTACATTGGTCAGAATTAAGGATTTTGGAGAAATTCATTTGAAACTGAAAGTATGAAAAATTTCTGCTCAATGAAAATTACCATTATTCGCTGTAGATCTATATTCATAACTTTAAAACCTGGCAGTCCTTCCTATTTTTTTTTCTCTATAGATTTCTTGTCAACAAGGGTGTCAGAGGTCAGTGTCAGAATGCCCCTCTGGCACCCATTAACTATAACCAGGAAACTTGTTCACTATTGATCTACAATGTCTAAATATCTATTATGTTGGATATAAAAGGTGGTTTCACATCTTTCTAAAACAGATAATTCATAAAGGCCAAAGGGTCAGGCCCGGTGATATATTATTGCTTCACTGTACCGCTGACGATGGGCACAGGAGGGAAGAGGCCGGGCCGAGCGTCACCGAGTTCAGGTGGGTGAGTGCTGCGTGTCTCCTGCCCACGCCACCCCAAAATGCTCTTGCCTCCGAGCACTGCCTGCCTCTGCCTTTGCTTGGGCTTTTGGATCTCTGCACTGGAAAGGAAGACAGATCTGAAATTTGAAGGGGAGTCAGCTCTGCCCTCAGCTATTAGTTGGGCCGCCCTTCGGCTCGCTGTCTGCAGAGCGCTTTGTGCCACGATGGTCACACAGCCCAGGGCTCTGTGTGCGGTGCAATCCGATTATTGCAGGAATTGTGCACAAAAGGGCAAAGCCCCCATGGGTGTAAGTTGTCACAGCTCCGTTGACTTCAGTGGAGCGATGACACTTGATGTACGCGGAGGATCTGCCCCAGAATACCTGTCAGACTGCGGCCACAGTTCCAAAATCATGTGTTTTCTGAACAGACACTTGTGTAATATCATATGAGTGATTTTGTTTGCTCATATCAACCCATCAAATTTATTGAGGCTCTTTTAATCTCCTCATAACTTAACCTGTTGAGATTCCTCTGCTCTGCTTAACGCTGAAACGCAGGGCAGAAGCAGCCGAGGATTTCTTTGTTCTGATATTCCTCCAGCAGGGCACAGGAACGCTGTAAGGATGGAGGACTCGACCCAGGGCTGAGTTCTCCCCCAGTCCTGCAAATACAGCCTTTGAGACTATGTGCCATTCCCTGGGAGGCACCTATTACTTCTGCAGGATGAGACCCATAACAGGCAAACCCTCTCTGGAAGGCAGCTGGCACTGTACTCTTTAATGGAGCTTATGGCCTTCTAGCAAGCCCCCAGAATGGTTCATATTCTTCCAGGCTGCATTTTTGAAGAAAGTAAATTGAGATGAATCATGCTAAGATGAGATAGTTAAAATGTCAGGCTCCATAAGTTTCAATGCATCCTTATAGCTCTCAACACTAAAATGCAACTGAACATTGGAATAAGGGAAACAAAAGAGAATCAGATAACTAGTTCTTATAGAGGGGAAAAAAAAGTCATTTCTGTCTGCGCTGCTACACCATGGAAATCCACATAGTACAGTTTTAGAGCTGTACCTTAAAAAAAACAATTGCAGTTTCTTTTTATCACTGGTCTTGGTTACACATCGCTGCCTACTCTATGACACACTAGAATTGCAGAGTTTCTGAGGCAAACAATACACCACCAGCTTTATTTCTGTTTACAAATGTTACCTGGGGGAAATGTGCCTGTACCTGTTGGATAAATTACAAATCATCAGCACTAAATATGACCCACAACAGTAACATAGAGGGGAAAAGGGAGTGCTGTCTATAGGTATTCGGCAGTAGAGAGGAGGAAACTGCCTGCTCAGTGTACTCCTGTTTTAATCAATAATGAAATTATACTGCTGTAATGTTTAAACAAGAGCTGCCTGCTTGGCATTTCCTTGAGCATTTTCTTGACAACAGATACTGCTTCATTTATGCTTATCATAATCTTTACGACTAGTTGAATTAAAAGCTCCTATATTTTTTTTTCCTTTAAGTGACTTGCTGTAATTTTTGAACCCAAGAAACAGAAGAAATGTGGCACATTGGTATCCAGGTCATTCTCTTGGACTCGTGTGGCAAAGGCACTGGGCAGAGAGGATTGTTGTGGCTGGTGTCACACGAACCGTTTCTTACCCCAAGGCTTGAAGTGATGCACAGCTGAGCTGACCAAAGGAAACCCTTGATAAGAACCAGGAACAAGGCTTTACATTCCTATTTCTATATTGGCAGCAAGCCACCACCTTAATCCCTCTGCCACCATGTCCCTTTTCCAAAGGTTGGATGGTTTTTTCCTGCTGTCACTGCTCAAGTTTTGATGGTTACATGGGCCTTGTACCGTGTATCCGAACAAATCGATCTTGGGTACCCGATCACAGCGTGGCTGACCTTGATCTGGCCGTGAGATCATTAAAACCTGTTGCAGGGCTCGCACCCTGGCCCCTTGCAACTCGATCACGGACCGGAGCTGGGCACGCCACGGCTTCGGACACCAAACAGGGTGCAGGGAAACAACTGCTCTGAAACCAGATCCTCCTGCTCCGCTCTGCCTGCAACACAGATGGGCCTGAATGAAGGCTATCACTCCTAGTTTATAGCCATTAGCAGTCATGATCTCCCTAATATGCAACAGAAATAATAGTATTATTAATAATAATATCAAACTGACACATTATTAGCCTCTACAGATGGCTCTATTCCTCCTAATAATTTTTATTTTTATTTAATGTTTGGAGATGCTGTAAAAAGTGACTAGTGCTTCAAAATGTGACCTCTGTGGGGTTTAAAACCTACTGAATCAGATGAGATATTAAAGCATTCAATGTAATGTATGACTTAAAGCTATGTTTTTAAAACTTTAATAGGAAATGTCTGATGCTTTAGATTACTATTTCTTGAAGTATAGTAGGCTGAAGAATTTGCTTCAGAGGGTCTCTTTATATCCAAGAAGAGCTACGTTGAGAATACACAGTATGTTCTTCCTTCACCATGCCTCTAAATAGATGTAAAGGAATTAGTGGGTATTAATAATACATCATGTTTCTACTTGGTTTTATACTATTGTACATATGTTCTTATACCACAATCAACACCACCGTATTTAAATATCTCCAAGCAGTTCATTAAAGAAGGTGATTAACATCTGTCATGTGTTTTTTCCCTCCTCCTCTCCCCAAGGAGGGAGGATGTTCAGGGGCATACCTTATTTTGGTAGGGATTTATCGTTTGTATGGGAGGCTTTTTTATTTTGCTGAGGTTTTGTTTCATTGCACGAAACTACCTATTGGGATAAATGTTTGCAAAGGCAACTCCAAAAAAAATATGATACGCTGATATAAGGGAAGGGCACTGAGATTTACTGTGAGTGAATTTGCTCAGAGGCACAGGCCAGGCCAAGGTGGGAATGAGGCCAGGTCCTCGCTGGCCACAGGCTTTGCAGGGAGTTCAAGCAATGCTCCTGGATGTGGCTTGTGTGTGGGAACTTCACAGGTTCACTTGCTCTTGCTGGTTCTTGAGTCCCTGTTGCCTTACTAAGGCTCTGCATAGTTAAATGTGTAACTAAAACATGTGGGGAGAAACTGGTCCTTTGGGGAGCACTTAGTAAAGGTCCTCAGTGAATGGTTTGGTGGTGTTCCTCATCGTGTATTTCTCTGCAAGAAGGATTCACATAAATCACTTTGCCTTCTTGCAGGGCTTTCTCACACTCTTTCAGTGAGCCAGTGGCATCTCAGGACCAGCAGCAACCAGCACCACTTGCTCGGTAGGATCTGGTTGCTCTCTACCTAGAGATGGAGAAGAGAAACCAGTCCCTGCTGCAGCCATACCCCGGGAGCTGTGCGGGTGTCACGTTATTGCCAGCTAGGTGAGGCTGTGCTGGGTCTTTCATATCTTCTCTGAGGGATTTCATATATAAATATCTGATACAGACTGATATTTGCATGGGCATGTTCACTCTCAGCTGGGTTACTGTGTAGGCAAGAACAGGAATCAGATTAATGACAGCGCTTTCCCTCAGTAGGATCTCCAAGGTTGGAATGGCCGTGGTCACCATTATAGCTGTTTGGTAGGATCAACCTTAGTGAGTCAACTCTTCCTAATTTATTACTTTCAGTTTCACCCACTCATGGTAACTCTCTGGGAAAAGCACAGAGATTTGTCCAGATTTGTACACCATCTCTTTGAGCCTTCATACTAACATAAGACCACTGCTAGTTCATGCTAATAACTAATGTGTCTGGCTCACATTAATTGTGTTCTGCCTGCCTATCCAAAGAGAATTTGATGACTTTCCATTGACAGTGGGGTTGGGTACCAGATGGTTTCCCCAGACAAGCCACTTCTCCCCATTTGTGTCAAACTGCACTGCAGGCTTGTCAGGGAAGGGAATTGTGTGGCCAGTTCTGCTTTGCATCGTGGGGAGCTGGGGAGCATCATCTCCCTTCCTCAGCCTCCCCTGGACTGTGCAGGAGGTTTTCTTCCCCTACCTCCAGAATATTTGTAGGGGAGAGCACAGAGCAGAATAGGAAAATAAAGGGCAGGGCGAAGGGCTGTGTGTGCATACCCATGCACATGAGCACACACGCACACAAGCACACACAGCCTTACAAAGATCCCAGTGGGGAACCCACACTAAAGGTTAATGCAGCCCCAGGCTGTAATTAGCCTTTTGCACAGAGTCTCCTTGTTGTGGAATCTCTATTTATGAGGGTTTTCAGGGGCAAGGCACCACCAGTCCCCTCCCCCTGCCCCAGTAAGGCCTGCTGCCAGGATGCTGGCAGGGTGCTGGGGGCTTGGGTGCGATGCTGGGGAGCAGGCATCCCCTCCGATGCCACTGGGGCTCCGCCAGGTGCCTTCGAGATTTCAGGAGATTCCCAAAGACTGAGAGAAGAAAAACACATTGCCCCGCTTCATGCCTTTTTTTTTCATGGTGTAAGGGCTAACCTGCCACCCTGATTTAGAAATTCATCATCACGTCAGTTGGTGACAGCAAATTTGGCTGTTAATCATACGTATGTCACCACAGAGAATTTTCATTGTCCCGTTTCAGTTCAAACAAGCGAGGTTCCTCTTAACTGAAATGCAAGACATTACAGGAATTGGAGAGCACGGCAAATATTAACACTCTTATAAACTCAATTTCCTGCTGCTTTATCCAAGTTCATCTTACAAAATGTGCCGCCTTGCTGTTTGGCCGGAGCTGGTTGTTGCAAGGCACGGTGAGGATGTATTGCAGCGACCAACTCCTCGGTGGCTGGTGGAGGGTCCAGTCCACCAAGGGTCATCCCCTCAGTAACTAGTGCATAAAATTACTGGCTAGGTATTATGTTATGACCTGGCTTTGCAAATCTTGCATCTGTTGAAGTCAGTAGCACTACTGAATTTTACCAAATGAATGCCATTTGTTTTTAAAATTCAAACAAAATATCTTCTATACTGACTGTGACCCATTCAGGACTCACAGCAATGAATGCACTGTTAAATTTCTGTGCCAGCACGAAGAAGCTGGTATTTAGGGGGAAAAAATCATGTACTGCAACAATGCAAAATCTAGAAGTGGATCAAACTTTATTTGATTTGATTTAATAATCTCGTGCAGATGCTCTGAGCTGAAGGTGTTTCCTCGGTGCACAGAGGGAAATGGGGGAGAGCGCTGCACCGCGGCACGGCCCAGGTCCTGCTCTATTAGTGCTGAGTGGAATGACATTGGACTGATAAACTGTGATAACGTTTTCAAAAGGCAAATCCCACAATATATTGAAACCTCCGGGGACCGTGTGTAGGTGTTGTCAGCTCCACTGCAGGCATAAATGTGAACTCCCACCACTGGGATATGTAACAATTTGTAATGCAACAATTAACAGAAATATTGACATAAGTATGTACTCAGCAGGGAGCTGGTATCTCATAGACTCTCTAGAGTGACTGTAATACAACATATACAGTACCGCATCAATTCTTAATGGGGGCTAGGCTCCTATATAAATTACAATGAAAGCATGCATGTATGTATATGTGTAGAAGGCTGCTTGCACAACGTAACATAAAAAATTAAACTTCCCCTTCAGATCAGCTTCTTTTACGTGGTTGTGGGGAAAATATGTTATAAAAATGCATATTTTTTAACATGAAATACCCGTCAAATTGTATTATCGTCATTGCCAATTTCACAACTGGCAAACCGTGTTAAACATAAATCTGCAAAATTATAATTAGGAAAACATTTTGCAAACCATCCTCCTGGGGATTGTGAGGTTAGTGGCATTATAAATGCTGTGGTTTTTATAGCGTGTGTGATTTTCACCCCCCCCCCAAAGCACACAGACACGTACACACACACACACACAGAGTTTCCCATCACTTTTGTCTTGTCCTCCATCTCAACTAGAGTAAATAAGATATCCACTCAGATAATGGAAACCCTGCTAGCACTCTGTTAGTGCCTTTTCATGCCAATTAAACACATTTTATACAGTCATAGTAGATGCACCAGTGCCTGCATAGTAGACTCCAGTAGAGCTCATCCAAACAACAGCACAGCAAATGTGATGCGGAGCACTTCATGCAAGTTTCCCTTCTGTCTTTGTTTTTCACCCCGTGCAAATTGTTCCAACCGAAAACCGATCCTGAAGGATAAGTGTTTATAAATACATAAACAGATTAACCAACTTATTTGTAGCTGATTACTGTGATAATAAAGATCTCAAACTGCTTGATTTAAATTAATCCTTCCCTCTTTAATGAAAAGCTAGCTTGCAGCATAAAGAAATTCTGACAGACGCAGTTAATGCATAAACATGCATTTCCCTGTGATAAGACATTTTAGCCTGATCCCATGCTCAGCCCTGGCTATCATTCTCTGCGAAGACAGCGTCTGCATTTTGGTTTTCATGCTTGGATTTATTTATTTTTTTTCTCGTTTTCTTTCCTGGTTAATTTTGAAAGAGTTGCATGGGGGAAATCTTCCTTCCCCTCACAGCAAATTACCTGCGCTCGTTACGTCGCGGGCTTTTTATTCAAGCGGCGCCTTCTTCCCAGGTGATAAATTTGAATTTACGGCGCAGCCCGAGAGCAACAGGATCAAACGCGGAGCCCTGCAAGGATCACCCCGGGTTATCGATTAACCCCTGCGCTCGCGGCCAGCGGGCACACAAAGGCCGTGGCCGGGCCCTTTGAGCCTCCGGCCCCGCTCGCCCGGCCTCGTCCTGGTCCCGTGCGACGCCGCGTCTGGGGGCCCCGCTGCGTGGCCACATGGGGCCGGCTCCAGCACCTGCTCGGGCCTAGCAGCGCCCCGAGGCTCGCCAGGCCTTGGCTCTCCCCTTCCTAAAGAGGTGACATATATCCTGCCGTAAAGACAGGGCTCCTATTACAAATCCCTGGAATATAAATTACGCTTTCATCTCTCTTTGGTTTTTCTTTCTTTTGCTTCAGTTTTCATTCCAGTATAAACTTCCCTGTCAAAAGGACATTTCTGATGTGTCAAATTCACCACTGTAATGAACAGGTTGACAAATGTTGAAGGTGAGCAGACATTTGGGTCTGCTGCAGCTGCCTGCAGCCAAGAGGAAACCATGACTTTCACAAGGATAACGAGGCTTTGAAAGATGGCTAAAATGTCGCCATCAACCTGCCCTTCTGCTACTTAGTAATTAGATAATTAGTCAAGCCCTAATTATGGGATCAAGGTGCAGGAAAACAATTAGCTGAAAGAATTACTGCATAAAACTGAAACTCCACTTCTAGCAAACAATATTTAATTTTATGATATCCGTGATTTTAGAAACCATTTTGATTCCTTGTGGAGGGAAAGCGCGTAGCACACGCTTCCTTTGTGCACTTATTGTCTCCGTGAGCAATGGCTTTAGGTCAGAGAGGGAGCGAGGGAACGAGTGGCAAAACGCAGCTAATTCACGTCCGTGCATATATTTCATGCTCTCACGTGTGTAAATGCGTGTTTTACTGCGTGTAAAACATCCTGCTGGCCGGATTCATTTTCTAAGCGTATCTCTTTATCTCCGGGCGCCTATAGATAGGTGCACGCATGTATATATCATGGCTCTCTGTCGCCTGCCACCGATGCTACACGCGCACACGCATGCACATCCCGGTCGTACACGCTTGTCCAAACTAACAATTATATTCTC